GTGTGTGTGTGTGTGTGTGTGTGTGTGTGTGTGTGTGTGTGTGGAATAAAAAACAGGACAGAAGACTTGAGGAGAGACCAGCAGGGAGGTAAACATGAAAAAAAAAACTGTTCTTGGGGAACCCATTCTGTGAAAGTGTTCCAGCGGACTGCAGCACGTCCTGCTGCCCTCTTTCTTTCTTACATTCAACTGAAAAAAATAAAATAGAATCCACAACAGATACCTGCTTATTCTAACACATGATAAACCAAATTAAAACAGAATTTTTTTGAGGATTTGACAAGCTTTTGAAAAACCTATCTGTCAGGTTTGAGAATTAAGCAAGGTTTTGGAAAACAGAGAGCATTCATACTGAGGTACAGGAGCTGTTTCATATCTAAAACATTTGGAGGACACTTTGTGTTTCAGTTCAGTCCTAGGTCAAACATCATATTTGCTTTAGTTCCATCACAATAGACARGTTCTCCCATTGAAACAAGTGGAGCAATTGGAACAGGTTCTCTTCTTGTTTAAAACTCACATTGGATGAGACCCTTTTTTTTCAATTTGCAGTCTACATTTATAAAAGTGACTCCTGAGTTTAACCCCTAACTTCCTAAATGTAGTTCTATTTTAGCTCCTGATCACACTGACTGCTGATGACATCCTGCACTTTATTTAGGACACGTCTTTGCTTTATGATTTTAGTTTTCAATGTTTTTAAGTGTTGGTTTGCTGGTTGCATAGGATAAGACTGTGATCACATGGTTTATTTAATTTAATTTTAATGTTTTTGTTATTTTTTTTGGTGGATATGACAGTAAATCTTTATATCTCATTGCTGTTGCAAACAGATGTTTGCAGTATGCAGCTTTACCACAAGGTGTCATCAATCATTCTTCCCCATTTTACCACCCTACTTTATGTATTTATTCATCTTTAAAAATATTTATTTTTCAATTATAGAAATCCATATTGTTTTCATTATTGTTTAATCATTACAGATCCCATTGAGATCTCAGATCTTTTTTTCATGAGGCCTGCTGAAGGCAGCCTAAATGTAAATGTTTTTTGGGAGGTGGAGAAAACTCACACATGCACAAGGAGAACATGCAAAGTCCATACAGAAAGACCCCAGGTCTGAACAGGGATCAAACCCAGGACCTTCTTGCTGTGCGGCATCAGTGCTAACCACTGATCCACTGTGCTGCTAAGTGAAGCATCAGAAAATGGAAAGTTAATCAGTGGACACAAAATAAAATAGTTTCAAATCCTCTTCAGTGATTTTTTTAAATGTCTCTTTTTTTCATTTAACTGAAGAAAAACAAAATAGTTCAGTTTTGTTTTTGACTGGAAGTTTGATCCTTATGTCTGACTGAATGAGAAGCTGGTAATTATGCAATTTAATGTGATGTCATCCTCACATATATGTTTAAAAATATATTTAAAGATCACTTTACTCATGTTGCTCACTGACATGAGTCAGTCACAGTTGCAGGCTCCGTTACAGACTCARCATCACATCACTGCACGGTGATGTCACAGACCCTGTTAGCAAGAAAACTCTGGATGTCCATCCATCTGAGTTTTGTTTCCTATATTCTATAAGCAGAGGTTCTCAAACTGGGGTCCCAGGACCCCCAGGGGTCCATGAGTGGTATCTTGGGCATCGTCGAAAAATTTCCCTATTTGTTCAATTGTTTTTTTTTTT